AAAAAAAAAAAAAAGTCTGCAGTGTTTTTGTTTTACTTAAATGTGCAAGGCACCTTTCTTGGCACAGCTGATACCTGTAATAAATTCCAAAACACTCCTGTTCTGTCCTGATTATCTGGCTTTCACGCTCGGATTCCAGAGACCCAATTTCCCAGTTTCCCTGAGTCTTGCACTGATTGATGTTCTCCCTCTCATCAGTAGCTAGGTCTGCATTAGCGAGTGGTGCAGCCCCACAGGAGCAGCTTTGAGGAACATCATCCTGCACTCATTTTGTGGGCTTTATCTTGGACCAGCTCTGCTGTGGGACAATGAACCAAATTTGCCTGTTGGCAGGGGGAGCAGTTCCAGAGCTCTGGAGCTCCTCTTCCCGCTTAGCCGCGTCTGGGAGGACCATAGTTCTTGCACTAGGGCTGCCCTGCAGTGCCTGCTGTTCCCGTGTCCATGTAATCAACCTGATCCCATAGACATTTCCATTACTCCATTTGAGACCAAGCTGCTCATTTAGTTTTGGATGCTCTTTTTCTTAGCTTTATTGGCAAGTCCCTGTAAAACACTGATGCAGAGCCCAGTACTTTTGTGCAAGTGCTATAGATACTTAGCTGTCAAACTCCCAATTACAGCTATCAGGTTGCCCAGACCCCAAAAAAGGTCCTGATCAACTCCATGCTTATCATGTTTAGGAATTTTTGTTTCTTTTCACAGTAGTAACACCTCAGATTTTCCTTGTTGTCAATTCTTTTTTTAATGGAGTTTTATCAGTTCTAGTCATTGTAAAGGATCTCTGGCCAGTTTGATTCTCTTGCCCTCGTGGATGTCAGGCAGACAGCAACTTTCAGCACTTGCTCTGCTCCTGAGGAGCAGATCTCTGCGTAGGGCCACTATGTGGCTGCAAGAGGACCAGCTTCTATCTTCTCTTCAGAAAGCTGTGACCTTTGGTAAGGTGAGGAAGAAGGACAGATATTTTTCTTCTATGCTTTACAACTTCGGTCACTGGAGCTGGACAGCAAGAATTGGCAAGAATTTTTGTATATCTGATAGTGCAAACCCACTCCCAGCACTTCATAGGTGTCTGGCACTCCAGTTTGCTTCTTGAGCTCCTTCTGCCCTTGCCTTTGCTTCTGTCAGCCAGCAAGGTCCAAGTTAGTTCCAACTTTCCTGGCTTACCTGGTTCTTGCAAAACTCCTTGGCCTGCAGCAGTTCTGTTGTCAGTCACCTCACTGATCCCCTTTGCTCAGGGGCTTCCTAGTCTATCTGGATACCCCGTGTTTGCAGCTCGTACAGAGATTTCATCCCTGCCTGCATGTCATCTCTTAGCCTGCTCTGGAAATTTTCCAGCCACCCCTTTAATTAATTTTGAAAAGCTGACTGAGGTCTTCTTTTAATTTCATCTGTTCTTGTTCTCATCTTTTTTTACCAATTACTGTTGCTGAGAGATACTTCCTTCATTGATTCTATTTCGGTTTGATGGGAATTCCAGCTTACGATTTCCTTGCTGGAAAACTGGATGTCTCCTCTCATGTGCTAGTAATCCATTCTTACCTGAGTGGTTAAACAGTTTGCCAGGTCCCTGGGTTGTTTTCTTCTCAGCTGGAAAGAGAATTCATCATCAGGACAGGGCTTTTGCTTTGATACACTTCCGTTTTATTTACAAAGGAAGCAGCGAGTTGTGTTTCCTCAACAGAGTCAGAATCAAGTAACAGGCAGTGGCTTCTTTTTTCCAAACCCCATTTACCCAGTGTTTTATCCCCAACCTCTCTCTGCTTTTGTTCTTCCAGGATCACAATACCAGAGTTTTTCAAAATGCCTTCGTGGCTTCTATATTCCTTTTACATGTTTTATCTTGATTAATCATCCTATCTTGGCTACTGCACCTCTGCATTAAGCGTATCAGGTTCTAGGGAAACTCATGGGCCCACATGCTCCGCGTCTCTCGCCTTTGTGATAACTTCTGCAATTTCAGTTATCAGCCTGCATAAAAGAGTTCGCTTGTTTTTACATTTATCTTGAATGAAAGGTGATGATTTTGTCCAGGAGCTGCAGTGAGATTTCACTCAGCTCTCTCACATAACACTATTAAAATTCAACGAGTCTTTGAACGTAACTCAAAAGCAAGAGGATGTAGAACATTTCTGATCTATAACAAGTTATCGCAGCAGGAGTTCCATGTTGTGAATAATTCCGGAGGCATAAAATTTTATTATTTTCCATATGCGCAGGGTTATAATTCCATGAAATACTGACAAGAATACATGCCTTAACTTGCAAAGTATTTTAAGACCAGTGATGCACAAAGCAACTCTTAGGAGTTAGGATATTTAGAACCAACTGTCCTTGCACTGAAAAAAAGATGTTACTAATTATGCCCATTTTAGAAATCACATGCTGTTAAGGCTCTTCACTTCCAAAGAGAGATTGCTTTGGGACACATTAACTTTTTCCCTCAGGGAAATTCCTTCTGGCTCTCCTTATAGAAGCATTTGTACCCCACATAATGTCATGCTTTCCTAAATCGGCCTACCTCCGCCCTTCCACCTTTTGGAGGGACTCTGCCCTTTTCTCGTTTTACCATATTAGGTGAAAGAGGAGGAGGAGTGATGCAGTTCCTGCCACATGGCTGAAGCTACACCTCTTCATTGTCTTAGGAAGCCAAATTATATATGATACATTTTTATGTAAGTTTTTTTATTTTTCAGTGATTTCTTCTTTCCATGACCAATATAATTAATAAAAT